CCATCCTTGCACCCCTAGAAGGAATCCCACTTGATTGTGATGTATAATCTTTTAAATGTGTTGTATTTGATTTGCTAGTATTTTGTTTAGGATTTTTGCATCTATTGGTCTGTAGTTTTCATTTTTTGTGTTATCCTTACCAGGTTTTGGCATCAGGGTCTCCTAAATGAGTTAGGAATTATTGTCTCTTCTCCATTTCTTTGGAAAAAATAATTCATTTTGCAATTGCAACAAAAATAATAAAGTACCTAGGAATAAACTTAAAAAAAAACATATGAAAACTACAAGACATTATTAAAAAAATTGAGACACACAGAAATGGAAAGATACCCCATGTTCATGAATTGAAAGAATCAACATAGTTAACAGGGTCATATTATCCAGAGCAATATAGAGATTTAATGCAATTCCCATCAAAACCCCAATGGCATTTTTTTAACTAATTTCCCATTTGACCCAAGAATACTAGCTGGCAATGCTTACAGCTGCGGCATAACTTGTAAATTACAGTCCTAACCTTACCCCCAAAGTTTGTCACAAGATTTCTCGCTTTTATTGTTATTTTCGCATCACTCTAGTATACTGATAGTCTTTGAAAATAAATGACAACATTCTATTTAAAACATTCGTTTTTAGTAGGGGTATTTGCATTTACAAAATATAGTAATTCTCAGTCACTGAAATGTCGAATCCTAGAAAACATAGTATTCTTATGCATGATGTTAAATGAACACTGGTAGTGAGCTGCACTTTTTCTTTTCCTAAATGGGAAAAGAGTTAAAGAAATAGAACAGAAAAGCACAAGATTTGTACGCAATCACAAAAGATCCCAAATAGCCAAAGCAATCCTGAGAAAAAAGAAAGGCTGACGGTATCACACTGCCGATTTCAAATTATACTACAAAGTGACAATAACCAAAGTAGCACGGTATTGGCAGAAAAACAGATACACAGACCAATGGAACAGAATTGAGAGCCCAGAAATAAACCCAAATATTTATGCACAAATAACTGTCAACATAGGAGGCAATAATATAATATGGGGAAAAGAAAACATCTTCAATAAATTAGAAAGCCACATGGAAAAGAATGAAACTAGACTGCTATCTGTAACCATACACAAAAATTAACTCAAAATGGATCAAAGACCTAAACATAAGACCTGAAACAATAAATCGAATAAAAGAAAATATAGGTACTAAACTCATTTTTGAGAGGATTTTATGAATTTGACTTCAAAGGAAAGGGAAGTAAAAACAAAAATAAATGAATGGGACTATATCAAACTAAAAATCTTCTTCACGGCAAAAGAAATCATCAACAAAACCAACTCTGCATAAGAATTCTGGAACCTGAGCTTTCCTAGACATTTGGTTATAATTTTTAGAGACATTTAAATTTTTAATTTATTTTTCAAAACTGAAATTGCTGGCAGCTTCTATTATCTCTTTGGCAGCATTTCTCCCTTTTATGCTCCATAGGCACTTCAAATTAGAAATAAAGCTTTCAAGATTTCAAAACACAGCTGCTGGGATTCTCACCTTGGAGATTAGAGGACAAAATGGTAAGCAAAATATAGCAAGTCCCATAAGATACCTTACTTCTCTAAATTTTTTCTTATATATTTTCTCAGTGATTATAAAAATATTGATTATTTACATAGAAGAATGCTTTTGTTTTAGCAACCGCTGCCTATAACTCATTTAGTAATATAATGAGTTTGAAGGACTGCTATAAGGTCAGACGACCAGAGAAATTAATGGAAAAATGCTGAAGCTATAGTTTTGCTGTTTTCATCAATTCAATTCATTACATTTATGGAACTCCTCTTATCAGGAATACAGAAATATAAATAATCATATTTCTGATTCCAATAACATCATACTTAGGAAAGTTTCTAAAAGACAACGAAACCATTTATAATCGTGGGGCAGAGACTGGTACTTCAATCTAACAACCAGTCTTGCTTCCAGGTGTGGGGGAGTTGATTAAAGAGACAGTATTCTGTCCTCATCATTTAAAATTTTTCAATAGTATCAATACCCCTCAATCTCTTTTAAAGGGCTTTCTTTTCTTGCTTCACTCACTCCTATTCTATCACCATTCACGACCATGGTTTGCTAGCTCCTTGTAAGATAGATCTTTGCGACTATGTCATAGAAACTCTTGTCTTACTATGTAGTATAATTAATGTCATCTACTCATGTTGCTTTAATATTTTTTATGATATCTAATACTGATGATTCCTGACTATCTCTGAACTTCAATTATGTTCAACTACAAACTTAATACCGACTTGAAAATCTCTAAGTCACTGGAAGTTTACAATCTTAAAACCAAACTCTTGATTTTTCTCTTCAAACCACTGGAGTTCCACCCAATTAAATATTATCATTTACTCCATTCTAATGATGTTCAAGCCCAAAAAATTAGGTATCATCCCTTATTTTTTTCTTACTTTCCACATTAAGTTATTGGATATTGAGAATTTTATCTTCAAAAGATATCTTGAATCTGTCTAGTTTACTGTCATTATCATAGTCCAAGTCTCCACCAGCTACAGCTAGACTCCTAAAGTAGTCTTCTAACTAAAACTTATTTTCTTCAATCCATCTACCTAAAATATAAAGCATGATCTACCGAAAATATAAAGTGAACCAAATCACTCTCTTTCAACTCTTTGCAGCTTCCCATAATAGGTAGGTGACCTAAATGAGTGAAGTAGCTTAGGGGTAACCATGGTGAACCAGAAAAGAGCTTGCTCAGCTTATAAGAAGCAGCTGTTTATTAGTTCCAGCAGATGTTGCCATGATGGTACATTCATTTCAGTTGCCAAGTCTAAGGAAATAAAAAAAATTGTGTGTGTGTGTATGTGCATGCGTGTGTGTGTGTGTGTGTGTGTGCGTGTGTGTGTGTGTGTGTGAAATTTCCTGATCTTTAAATGTTCGTTCCCACATTTTAAAAACACTGAGTGCTTAACATAAAACATAGCTTCAATTCATATTAGGCTGAATCATTGCCAATTTTCTTCTTTTGCAGAAGAAATATGGTTTCCCCTTATCTCTGCAACTTCATTGTTTTTCTCCCACTTACATTCTATAATTTAGATTCACTTTATTTTTCTTCCTCAATGTGAAGTTCTTCCTTCCCTGTAGGCTAGATGCATAAAATTTTCCCAATATCAACAAGAGTGGGGCCTTGTTAAATTGGGTGGGCTTCCACCTGGATGGTTTTATTTTCTCTCACAGAAACTTATTTTTCAATTTTATTTTTTTGACTTTAAAGTACTTTTCTAAATTTGTTATTACAACTGCCTGTGCTCATTTAATTGCTTATTTCTTTCCTGCTATTAAATCCTAAGAGCTATGGGATGTATGTACTATGTCTGCTTTTGTGTGCTTTATTTGTTCCTAGTATAAGGTCAGGCATATAATGGGCAAGAAATATATGTGGATAATGAATGTATAAATGTTCTCTGAATTTCTCTTCCTGTCTATACTAGATTCTAATAATCCCTTAGAACTTAGTTCAATGTTAGCCTTCTGTGACCCTTATCTCCTAGATCTCCAAAATACCATACCTCCTCTGTGCTTCCATAACATTTCATACATTCTTAAATTATAATGACTATATTATATCTTAGTTTGATGGTGAGCTTCTTGATGCCTAACATCGATCCTGGTACTTGAAACCTGATGGAAAGATGATCTTAAGATTTAAAATGCACTACACTTGATGGTAATTAAACTCATTGTATTACTTTTATATTAAGTCTATTTCCAATACACCATGTATTTTTACAAACAGTGGGGTCAAGTAAATATTAATAGTAATAGTAATCATTTTATATATATTATTATAGCAGGTAGCAAGGAGTACTTATTTTGTCTCAAGCTTTATGATTACTAACATGCATACATTAATCTCATTTAATCGTGCCCTAAAATTTTATGGGATAAATATTTTTAATCTCATTTTTAAATCTGAGAAAATAAACTTGGTGAAAAGATAGTTTATGGCAAGGATGGGATTTGAATGAAATTTGACTTCAAAGCACAATGTAATATAGTGATTAAAAGATCAGGTTTTAGATTTAGGATGTAATGAGTTCAAATCCAATTCAATCAAATTATCTGCTCGATAAGCAGAACTTCAGTTTCCTCATTTATAAAGTGGTGATAAAATAATAAATACCTAATGGAATTTCATAATAAATAAAGAAGACATGTCAATTGCTTACCTCTTTGGAGCTTATGAATTATCATTTTTAATTATGGAGGCTGAAAGATTTAGGTGAGTTTTAATAAAGTTGCTTAGTATTATTTAGTATTTTATAAAATTTTTAAGTATCTTTAATTTTTAAATGCTATAATTAGAGGACTACTGAAAATTCAGTATTTAAAAAATACTATTTAATAGCTCTGTAAAATAATGGCTACCAGAGTTTACTACATACACTCTCTAGGATATTAGTAAACTTAATTTAAAATTAATAAAATACTATTTTAAGACAAAGATGAAGCATATTCAAGTTAGGTTTACTTCTAGAAATATGTATAAAATGTTTATATGACATTTGCAGGAAGGTTTCACAGATAGTATCTGATCTGAAACTCGTCATTGCATATGACAAATGTGATTTACATGTTACAGAAGAGGAATACGGGCAGAAAGAATTGAGTGACTTATCCAAGATTGAACAACTAATAAGCAGTAAAATTCTAATTTAAACACATGTCGTTCAAATCCAACTCCTGTTTTTTTCCCACTAAGTACATGATCAAAAAGTAATAATTTAAACTCCAAAAAGTATCCTTAAAAAGTTGATGTTATTTACCACATTAAATTAATAAAATATTATTAGTAGTAACATATCAATGAAATCTACCTGTTACAGTTGTAATACACCATGTATTTATCTCCATGTTATCATTTTTAGAATTTAAATTAAAATAAACTTTAACTAAATAAATAATGAAATAAATAATTTAAAATATTACCTAAAATCTGATCCAACTCTCTTCCCATTTTCTGGTTCACCTGGATCTGGACATAAATTGGAAGCTGTTTTAATACCTCCCTCATTTACTGTAACAACAGAAAAAAGAAAAAAAAAGGAATCAAAACGTATAATTAGAAAATTACAGATATTAATTTTAAAATTTACATAAATATATTATTGTATTTTTTATTATAATCACTAGTTTAAATACAGAATTTGATAACCCAAAACAAGATAGAAAATATTTTTTTCCATTTATAGATCTATAAAAATTAAATTTGGTATTCACATTCAATGACATACTATTCTGAATATTAACACACCAACAGTTAAAACTTTATTTTTAATTACTATCAAGTTGTGAAATCTCTGGAAATGCATTCCCAGGGTATCAGTGCCACAGTCTCCGTTAATTACTGGCAGTAAAGATATCACCACCAGTTACAACAGTGTTATTGGGTCCTGTTATTTTTAAAGTTGTAATAGAAAAATAAGACCCTATGAAAAAAAGTTTAAAGTTATTAGCATTTCTTATATGGTATATAACAAAGCAATTTAGTCTGTCAATGTCAAAATTAAAGTATTTACCAAGTACCTTCTTGAATTATGATATGATATTGAAAACCTAAATAATGGCTTTACCCTTTAGCAATATCCATGACTATGTTTAACTTAGCCAGGGTATATATTTTATTTTTATTTTTTTTTCCAGAACATCCTGTTAATCAAAGATTAATTAATATGTTCAGTGAATATGATCACATTGGAAAAATTCCCAAGATAAATTTTTTAATGGGAAGATTATTAAACCAGATAATTCTGAAATATGTGAAACTGTTTCATAAATTCAATTTTATAGTAAACTGGAGAATAACTTCTATTTTGCTCTTCATCGACTTATCTGCTCCTTTTAAGAAAAAAAACAGTACCTAAGTAGAGACTTCAGAATGAAAAAATATAAACCTTGTAATGGTTCTCGTCTTACAATGTGCATTAGAATCACCTTTGGGGCTTCCTTTTAAAGAATAGCGATGCCTACTTCTACTTCCAGATATTCTAATGCATTTACTCTGGGGTAGAACCCCAGGTATAGGGGTTTTTTTTGTTTGTTTGTTTTTTTAATAATCCTTAAGGTAGAGTCAGTGGTAGAGTCAATGTTGAGAACCAATGAGTCTTTGCATCATTTAGTTCAGAGTGATTTATCAGATAGCACGACAACTGTCAGATGATGACCTAGCAGTCATGGCTCTGGTAAAGATGTCATATTTTCAATTAGATATGAAATTTTACATTTGTGTTCTTCATTCTATAAAACTCACTTTCCTAAATATCCCCAACAATACTCTTATTGCCAACTTTATTATATATTCGCCAGTCTATGCAGGGCATGTGACATTTTTCCTTTTCTTGTTCTGCTGACTCGGTATTTAAATTCTCTTTATCTTTTTTTGTTTTGTTTTGTTTTTGGCTATTCTTTTACTTTTGCTGATATAACATGTAGTGGACAAATTCAAAGGCAATGGCCCACAGTTATCCATATTTTATACTTTCATTATGGCTTAAAAATTTACTTAAAAAATTACTCCAATGTTAATGACTTCCAATCTATGGTTTGTCATCTTTTCCAAGTTCCTTTCTTGCTCTATCAATGACTTACTAGATAAACCACCAAAATTCCCACTGTCATCTCATGTGCAGGCTCAAACCAAACCTATTTACTGATGCTTTTGTGACTTTATTATCCTTCATTTCCAAACCATCTTGAGTACTAGAGGATAAACTTCCTTAAACATAGTTTGTATTACTGTTCAAGTTCCTAGGATTCAACTGTATTTCCAACTAGTCACAAAGATGCATCCATAACTCGAATCCAACAAGATTCTTCTTCATTCTGTAGTTTTACTGGTCACCCATGTTCATCCTATGCTTTATGTTTTCTCCATGTCTCTGTGCTTTCTCTTCCCATTTAGCTATCAAAATCCTATCTAATTTTCAAGACTCAAGTCTCACAGGTTTGCAAAATACAATCTTTCATTTATCCCAGATTATTTTAATCCTCTTTTTTACATAACATTTATACTTAAATTTTAAATTATATTGTCATATTATAAAAGAGCAGTTTCACATTTCTTAGTCATATATACAAAGATATTATATCCCTGATAAAGATAAGGGAAAAACTAATAATTAGTTTAATAAGCCTACAATGCCTCAATAGGAGTTAATATCTTCTTCAGTAAATATATCCCAGTTGTTTTATTAAAAATAATACCTGTATATTATTTTAATGAATCATATATTTTCTGTTGGAAGCACTCCCTTTCCTATCTTTACATGGCTTTTTGCAAATACTCTAGTATACCTTATTAAAATGTGACTTTTTGAACATCGAATAGAGATGAAGAAAAGGAGTGGCATGACCTATATTTACCTACTTTATTATATTAAAATGTATAGTGCAGATTATAAATTAATACAGAAGTGGTCTGGGTATATATTATTGGAAAATAAAAATATTTATTGCCTCGAAAAGTAAGCCTAGGTTAATATGAATTTTTACAATAGCTAATACCTACATAGTACTAACTACTTGTCAGGAACTATTCTACATCTATTTACATGTATCAACTCATTTAATCTTCACAATAATTTTAAGGGTAGATATTAATATTATACATTTCCTACAGGTGAAGCAACTGAGGTATGAAGAGGTTAAAAATATTTCTAAAGTCATATTGTCAGTTAATGCCTACGTCTAGGTTTAAACCTTGGCAGACTGATTTTAAAAATTCTGCTCTTAAACCCTGAGCCCTACATCTTGTCCAAAAAGGTCAGCAAGACAAAATGGCATTGCTAATTAAAATTCAAAACATTTTTCCAAACATTTCATTTAAAAATGCATAGCATATTTATGACTTTCACCATTTTTACTTAATACTGGTTCTAATGATTTTAATTGTCAATTATCTTTTCTACTTGGAAGCTTCCCTTAAACCACTGCTTTTGGAATTTGGCAATATGGGAAAGACACACTGATTTAAAATGTACAGATAACAGGAGACCTTCTACATGATATGCGTATTTAATGTTCTTTCATTAAAAACATTTAAAATAAAAAATAAAGAACAAAGTGTATGATCTGTTACTTCTTTGGTATTTGGATATTTCATAATTGCTCATAACTAGTGATGGCAAGACATTCAGATGAAGTTAGAATTCATTTAATCAGCTGCTTTCACTACATACTGTCATTCAAGCAACTGGACAGATTTATCACTTTTACTTCTTTTAATGAGAATAGTAACTTGCAGAGCAGTAAGGACATGAGTGTACTTTACAGTTTAATTACATGCACAGGCTGCTGCTCCTTGAAGAGAGTATCACTATGAGAACAACCTTTGGTTGTGACTTTTAAGGATATTATTATTATTATTATTATTATATTAATTATTAACAGAACATGAGTCCTTTTCCCCATATATTAGCAGAAAAAAGAGAGAAGGATAGCATAGGGTTTTGAAAATTGAATGAACTGTCATTTCTTATAACACTGAAGTGTCTTTAGTACATGTATTTATAAAATATGCTACAGGAATCTTAATTTACCATATTATTATATGTTCTAGCTTGAAAATACTATACAATTATTAGTCAACATCAAAATGCAATATTTTTATTACAAGCAAGTTATCTGAGTCTTCTGATATTATTTAGTGCATAATCTACCCTAAAAAATAAAAATAAATTCTGACTAAAAGTCATCTCCACATTGTTTCATCCAGCTACTTACATTGCTACCTTTCTTGGATTTTTTTATGTTAGATTTTAATTTTTATACAACCTTAAAAAATATAGTGCTTCTGGATATTGTTCTGAATTCAAATATCATGGATATTGACAGAATGTTATTTTATACTAACTTTACATTCCACACAAAGTTGCCTCTTTGAGCTTCCCAATAAAATGCTGGGTCCTTGCCAGCTGAGACTGTACTTTATTCACTCTTTATCTTCATAGTATAGCTTGGTGCTGCCATAGAGAAGTAGCTCTAATAGAATTGTGGAATGAATGGATAATGTAAATGAATGAAAGCATGGATCTGAATAAGAAGAAATTAATAGTTATAGGAAGCTCACACTTTCTTAGTAATTATACCTTAATATTCTAGAAGAGCCTAGCAGAAAAATTGGCAAGACTTCTGGGTAACTAAATTCAACATTTTAAAATATACAAATTTGTTTTTATTTTTTACATTTTTTAAAATTTTATTGTATTAGTTTCAAGTATACAGTATATTGGTTAGACATTTATATAATTAATAAAACAATCTCCCCTAATTACTCTTTCTCTCCTCTGGCTCTCCACTTAGCTATTACATTAATGCTAACTGCATTCCCTATACCATGCTCTCCATCCCTGTGACCATCTATTAACTACTAATTTGTACTTTTTTAACCCTTCTCCCCATTCTCCTAGGCCCCTAATACCCTCCCCTCTGGCCCTCGCCAGAGTCTTCTATATTTGTGAGTCTGTTTTTGATTAGTTTGTTCTTTTCATTCCTTAGATTCCACATATAAGTGAATTCATATGGTATTTATCTTTCTCTGTCTGAGTTATTTCCCTCAGCATAATAACCTCTAGGGCTATCCATGTCCTTGCAAATGTTAGGATTTCATTTTTTTAATGGCTGAGTAATATTCCATTGTATATATGAACCATAACTTCTTTACCAATCTATTTTTTTCCTTCCTTGGCAAACTTACTCTTTTTGATGAAGAACATAAATGGACAGGTAGAAGCTATTTTAATTTCAAGTATTAAAGTTGGGGGGAAAAAACTCAGAATTTTCTATTTAAACAATCAAAGGCTCTGCATGAAGACTACCTGCAGCTTCCTGAATCTCTTAATTTGTTTCTTAGTTATAACTTTAAAAGTGTTATTGTAGGAAGATACGCTTTGACAATGCATAGTTCATGTACTCCATGCTTAAGCTCACTTTTGGCAGTTACAGTAATAGAATTGATTGCTTTTACAAAGACCACCAACTTAAATATATTTTTTCATTTTTTTTTTCATCTGAAAGATGAGTGTCACATACAAATTCTCTCCTTCTAAAATTATTTGGCCCTGTTCAACAAATGATATCAAGGAGGTGAAGATCCAAATGCTTACTTGATAACAGATACACAATAATGATAAAAATTAAAACAATATAACAAAAATACTTCTCATCTCTTACATAAAATGTAATGGATAAATGTAAAATTTGTTTTAATATTATTAAGTAAATTAACATTTTGTTTTTGCATTGCAATTAACTTTTTTTGGCCTATTAACTTTCTCCACAATTTTAGAACAAACATTCTTTAAATAAAATTTGTTTTTTTAAACACAGGTTTTTCCCCAGATGCATTGTTATGTCTGCTTCCTTTCTTGATCACTCTCATAATCCCTGCACAAAAACAATAAAAATAATATATATGCCCACTAGGCAATATACCAAGTATAGAGAATTACATACATCTTGAAACCTTAATAAATCTTACCTATTTTAGTATAAGTAGCTGGAATTTCCCAGGACATTTAAAGTATGAAGCATGCAGCATATAAAATAACAGTATAGCCAAAATGGGGAAAGGATGAAACAGTCATAGTTTATAATTCCACTTAGAATTGCAAATAAATATATTGGCCGGAAAAAAAATTAGAAATAAAGGTAGTGAACCTAATATTTAAGTCTTCAATCAGTCAACTTTTATTTCATGTTAACATAATGGAATTTGATGTCATAATAATTTCACCTTTTTCTGTTTATATTTTCTTTTGTAGGAAAAATATCTTTCCAAGATGTATTAAATAATTAATATTAGAAAAATACTATAGCACTATTTGTTTTCCCTAAAAATTGATATATCAACTTTAAAAATGTTTATATCAATCTTGAAAATGTGTTTTTAACTCAAAAAATATTACAAGAAATTATTACACAGTTAAATACTTTAAAATAGACTGTTTAGTGCTTTTCAATTTGATCAAAAATTTCCAATTGATATTGCTATTTTTGGTTTAGTATTCCCATATCTAACATCACATTTTAAAATTATGATACTAAATATTTTATAACATACAGGCTCCAAATTTGTTTCTTGATAATTGATATAATTGTTCTAATTGTGTCATTTACTGTTATATATACCAGTCAACAAATATTTAGGTGAAACACTTTTCTGATATAACTATAATGAATGATTTTTGTTAAAGAAATCGTTATGAACTCATTTCATCAGTTGATTTGAAAATGAATAAAAATAATAATGCTAAAATATGCACTCCTGTTAAAAATAACACATTATTTACAATAATCTACTATCAATATGTCATTTTAAAAGTCAGATATCGCATCATGAGTGGCTTCTTTCAAAATTTATATGTATCTGCATGAACAGCAGGGCAGGAATTTCCACAAGCTGCTATTGACTTATACTACAAAACTGCATACCCTCCAAAAATTTTTATTTTATGTTAATTTATGGTAATACACATGAATGCACGTCCAGTGATTCTTAATCAGATTCATGGATGAACTTTATAATTACTTCACAAAAGACTACTGACTTAAAGGTTTGGATGTTATAACTCGAGTTAAGAATATCTTTTTTCCTTAAATGAAAAATTGCTATTAAAAGAATTTTTCCTTAGGAAAATAATTATGTTGAAATTTAGATATGGTCAAACAAAAATCCTAAGAGAAATCACTAATTTAAGGAATTTCACTCATTTTTTTAACTCACATCTTAGAATTAAAAAATTAGGATGTTCTCAACATTGCAGATCAAAAGAGATTTTTTACATTTTAAATTAATCTGATCTTAGGAGTTTGCCATATTAACCCATTAATTCAATATACATTTAAATACAAGAAAATGTTGAATAATAATCATGCATGTTATATAGATATTAATGCAGTTAATTTGATAAATATACAAATAGTTTTATAAAACACACACAAACACACAGACATTACAAACTTCACTCTTGCACTAGAGAAAGTAACGAAAAAGGAGTACACTCACAGATAGAAAACTTGTTGCTGTTGTCTTTCCCTGGAAACAATTTAAATCCTCTAGATTTAAAATCTATGGCCTTTTTCACTAGTTAAGAAAACAAACAAAAACATGTATCAGGATATACAATTTTAAAATAAAATTCAAGTTAACAAATTTTGTTAGCATGGATTTACTCAAGTTAAAGAAACTGCTTTCTTAACCTGATATAGATTACCCAGAAGAAAATTTAAAAAGAAAGATTAGCAATATAATTACTAAGTGAAATGCCGAGCAGTAAAGAAGGATTTTAGTGTTGTAGAGGGAGAATCCTGCATATATGTATAGGTATTTTTAAATTCTATCCAACTTTTTATATGAGAGTAAAGAATTAACACTTTATCATAAACCCATTTGAATTAATCAAATGTTATGAAATAAATTAAATTACAAAAATTAAAATATTATGACATAAAAGTAGAAAGAATTTAATGAACTTGGTCTTTAAAATAAACTAATGTATTTTTCAGTTAATTTAGCATAATTGAAATACCAGGACATGTTTAATAAAATGGCATAACTGGAAAAATTAAAATACATTTTAGCATTTCTGTTAATCTTTTCTTTCATAGTCATTGCTTTTGACAATTTGATAGATGTCAGTCCATAGTGAATAAAATTTATGAAAGTGAATTACAACTATTTGGAGTTCATTTAAAATATATTGCTACTACTTTTTGAGATGTTGATATTAGAAATCAAAATCATACGATACTGGCATAATTCACTGTGTACTATATTAAAACAAATATGACTGGATTTGCCTAAAAATAATAAATTCAATAAAGTAACTTGAAACATTTTAAAACCATTTTTTCAATTATTCTAGATGAAGAAAAAAATCATTTCCTTTTTAATATAAATTATTTGATTCACTACAATTGCTATCTCATTTTTAAAAGCAATAAACAATAGTTCAGAAGACTATTTAAATTTTTAATGACATCAAGTGAAATAAAGAAAATCTACTTAATTGAAACTTCGCTAATTAAAAAAAGTTATGCAATCTGATCTAATAACATATTTAAATTTCAATTATTTTCTTTCCAAAAACCAGCATGAACCAGAATGCAAGGGATATAATTAACTCCTCAATTATAATTTGAAATTTTACATATTGCTCTTTATGAGGTTTAAAGGTAGGGATGATAGGCTGAAACAGTAGGTTGAAACAATTAGGTTTTATTCATGTCATAAATTTTAAAAAAGCAAAACTGCTTTTTTGTTAGTTTAAGATGATCGTTTTACTGTGACTTGCCATTTTATCCAATTATGGATATTCAAATTATGGATATTTTACTGGTTTTGAAACATTTTAAGGTGCTTTTTTTTTTTTTTTTTTTTTTTTTTTTTTTTTTTTTTTTTTTTTTTTTTTTTTTTTTTTTTTTTTTTCTTGTTAACATCTTCCAAAGTAGAAAGGTAGAGACAGGGTCTAATGTCTTATTGGAATATAGGGTTAAGAACTATCTATACATATTACATAAAAAAATGAGGAAAATGATCATTGGAGCAGGATTTAAAGAGACATGATTCTTAGCAATTATTAGTTCTCAGATTTTGTATAAGAATCTGCCTCTTTATCCTTGGTCTCTTCTCGTAAAATAAGAATTTAGATTAGATGACTGTTCAGTCACTTTACACTTTTGAGGTTCTTTAACTGTGATCCTTTATAGTGAATGATTACATCTCTCAAGTTGTGCTTTTTGTTGTAATTCTTTCACATCCCACCCTACGGTAAGCTAAGTTTTAGTTCTACTAGAGTATTCAACTGCTCTAAATTTAGTTTCTTCCACTTGTGAATTTTCCTGCTGTCTTAAAATTCCTTTTTAACAAAATTTGCATTTTGTATTATGAAGCATAATTCTACATTTCATTTCCCCAATCCAAACATAAATTATAAGTAGAAATTCTACCTGTTTTTCTCTGCATTGTAAGAACTGACTTTAAGTATTACAAATGAGTCTGAAGATTTCATGGTAGCTTCAACACAAATCTGAGATTCTTGAATAAAGAAAAATAAATGAAAAGCTTGTAAAATCGCAGGAGAAAATCGAAGAAGAAAAGTCTAGAGGGTCAAATTGCTCGGTTCTAAAATGTGTTACTAGGAATAAAGGATGTCAAATTCTACAAAAGGTGTGTGTGTGTGTGGAAATGGTAGGTTTATATAACATGCTAATGTCTAAACTTGAATATTTGATAGGGTGAAGTAAGAGACAACTCTAGCTAAGAAAGTGCCATCTCAGACCTAAAAGTTTTGAATAACCTCCTGGTTCTATAGGGACTTAGCCTTATTTTATTTCTTTTTTAAGCATTTATTTGTCAATTTGAATCAAAGAAATAAATCTATATATTTTTTAAAGTAAAAAGTATAATAATTGTAATGCAGATGCAAAAGATCGAAAGCCAGGAGAGTATCCATTTTAGGAGCTAAAAAGAAATGAATGAAAAATAAAACAAAATTTAAATCCATAAAAAAATTATAATATGTTAAACAGTAAACCCATTCTTTAGATCTTCTTATAATTTCAATAGACTTGCATATCTCTTTATGAATAAATTGAGAGGATGAAAACATCAAACACCAATTGCAAGACCGTGGTCTAAATCATGTGTCAATAAAATGTTAAACCTCAATTATATGCCATAAAAATGTAACTTTTATTATGTATTACAAGGTATATACATTAAATATCAACATGGCATCAAGCAATTAGGGGTTTTACCATATTAAACTTATAAAATTAAACAGACCTTTTTAACAGTTGTATTTCAGTAACAAGCATGTAAAATGTATTTTATCACAGAGATAAAATTCATTGTAGTCTTTTATACAGGTTAAGAAAAATGTTAAAAGACAAATATGTGGTTTATGTTTTAATCCTTCCATTGTTCTGTGAGCTTCTCAAGGTCAGGAATAATATTTTATTTAGGTGGTACTTGTATGAGTGTATGATTGAATTAATAAATGCAATATTTTAAGTTTTGGCTCATTTAACTAAAAGCATTTGTTGGAAGGATATCCTTTACTAATCATGAATTAGGAAGGGAGAAAGTGATAAAAGAATGAATGTTCAAGATGAAGCACTTTCATGTATAAAGCTATTTTTAAACACAAAAATTATATATGTTCTAATACTTTTAATAAAATTCATTAAATGTAAGACACATAGATATGCACAAAGATTCATTTCCTTCGTTTTTTTTTTCTGCTTTTCACATGCTAAACTTTTGTTTACTTTATTTATTGTTTTTTAGGGGGGTTGAAATGTTTTTAGCAAATGGAAATATAATATGGGAAAAGTCTGTCAGATTTTTATTATAGCATTATTTGTTAAATGTTATCAAAACATCTCAAAACCCCTTTTGTTTTCTATTTAAACTATATTCTAACACAATAATAAAGAGAAAATGAATGTTTGTTATGCTGTTTGTTATCTTAATCTTCCAAATTTGAAGTATTTATTTTGACAATAAGTTATCTTGCAAATGGCAGTAGCTGCATTATAAATCTGTGATTAAATCAGATTATGATAACTTCTGAAAAGGAAAATAATTTCTTTAGAAAGTAAGTCGCTTGTATCTTATTCATTTTTTTGGTTTATTTTTGCTTCATTTTAACTTTTCAAATGTCTAAGAATGCCTTTCTCTTCTACTGTATTTGAAATCATGATACCTAGATGTATAATTCCTACTTCTCATTTTGAATTATGATTTTTATCTTTATCTTTATAATCAATAAATTATACTAATAAAATGATTTCCTTAATTTTTTGTTTTGGTCATTTAAACAAGTGTGTGAATTTGAGAATCTAGCACATCTCGCTAGTGACAGTAGATTCATTTACATGGGTACTAAGAAATATAATCAATCACTGACTCACTGACTAATTCTATCACAGGTCAAGATAATGTTAAAATCCAGTATTTTATTTGTGGCATTTTCCTCACTGGACTAGGAATTGGGAGACTGTGTTCTAGTTCCATAAGACATGGGGCACACTGTTGAACTTCTCTATTCGTTTCTAAGAGATTCATTCATTTTACTCTTAAGTATTTAGGTGTAGAATTTGAACCAAAGGAAGAGTGAAAGACACATGTAGTCAGAATTCTCAATTCCATTTCAAAAATTAAAATGCATTTTGAGATTGCAAAAGTACTTAACTGTGCTAAAAGGATACATTTTGTTCATTTTTTTTTTTTTTTAAGTAAATGGTGGCTTGATGTTACATGTCTCAAAACATTAAAATTCAACACCTGTTGTCTACACACTGTACTGGCAGAACAAAACACTTCTTTAGAATGTATTTTTCAAGGAGGCTGCTACTTGGTTATTCCTTCCACATTATCCTTAGAAGAAGAATGATCAAGAAATTATACAGACACCAGAGTAAAAGCTAGGTAATATTCCTGCAGTGTCTGCTTTATCATCTTTCAAGTAAAGTTTACCATTTGGATACAAATTTCTCAAAAAAGAACATTTGCTTTATAAATGTTTCAAAAGAAGATAAATAATACTGACCACCATTTGATGAGAAAAGTTGTGTTGCAACTAATGCTTAACAATACTAAAAAAATAATTTGTAAATACTTACATATTAGAGATATTTGAGGCCCAAAATATTCTCAAATTTAAAATGATGGAATTAGAACAATTAAATTTAGCACGAAATGATATACATTCAATTTTATAATTACTTCAAATCTAATATTCTCCTTTTTAAAAATCACTACAGATAAGTAATATGGTACAGACACTCCAGTATTTTTTAAGTCCTAATTTCTATTTATGCTATCATACTAGTTTATGGCCAGCACTTATTCCTGCATATCAAATGTATAAATATAAATTTTAAATATAAAATTTACGTGATGTCCAATTTTTAGTTGAAAAAAATTACAATTATATATGGCACCACTATGCTTAAATTCTACAAAAAATTCCAGGAATAAGTACAGAGCAAGAATTCACTAAATGTTATTTTTATTATTGTTATTACCAGTTATAATTTTAAGATCTATTCAGTTTCAGAGGCCATTCTAATTGATGA